TGCAATTGTCAGTTAAAGTAACGCATATTGCAAAAAATGGCCTGGTCAGGAAGGGAGGAAAATCCTCTGGGGGGCAAGTGACTAATGTCTATATAGTGCTGTAGTATTAAATTGGTTTGAAACCCCAAACAAAAAATGTAATATATTGCGGCTTACCAATCATTAGTTGTGGAATATACGTTAATTTTATTTTTTAAGACTTTTTCCCCCCTCTGTTTTCACCTGGTGATCTAACCAGTAACAAGAAGTAAAGTTAGGAATCTGCACTTGGAAATATGTATTTGAGACACTAATTTAGTACACATATTTCCTGGAACAAACTGTAAAGACATGGTTACACAAGGAGCTACCGACACCCGTTAGTTTTCATTTCACTCCCTATCATGCTGGGCACAAAGTTATAATCTAACTCGTTTTACAGTAGAGAAATGTGAAATCACAGTCCAGAGGTTACACACAAGGCATGTCTGGATTCCATCACCTATATCACCCCTATCACCTCACAACACTGTACAGGGAACAAGTCATTATCCTTAGTGACCATCATAAAAGATGTGTGACGGATGTGTCAGTGTCAGCTCATAACACCCATGCAGCCCTGGAACCTTTCCATATAATACTTGCCTGTGCTGTGTACTCCTCTACTACTATGGCCCTTGACTGTAAATATCAGAAGACATTTTATATGTATGCTGAGATATATTAAAGGGAATCATCACCCCTTCACTCCAAACCCAACACTCTTTTATCAGCATGTCACTGCTACCAGATAACTACACTGTTACAGTAGATAATAGATGTAGGGGGACTTTCATACTTATATGAATATGTAAAACCCAACATTTGATGTTCCTGATATGCACCTGTTCTATTTGTATTGCTTCCTTTGTGTAAACCTCCTGCTATTCCTGCCAGTTCCTATTTAAAAAAAAAAAAAAAAACTGACCACACTAAGCATGAGAGCACAGTGTGGTCCATTTTCTAGTTGTGCAGAGAGCTCAGCCTGCTCTCCTCCAATGATCAGGGTTGTGCTGACACGCCCCCCCCCCCCTTGCACAGACATTCACTGGGAAGATCAATGAGCTGTTGCTTCTCCACCCCCACATCTTATGCAGCTGAGAACAGAGGAAAAGTGAAAAAAGGTATTCATAATGTGTTTTTTTTTTTGTTTTTTTATACACAAAATTTTTTTGGTTTTTTTTTACATTCAAGGAGAAACAGTCAGAATAGGGGCATAATGAAGGATTAAACTTTTTGACATTACAGGAGCATGTGCAATAGCACATTTAGTTTATGTGTTTGGGGACAGATAGCCTTTAGGGTTTCCACTCACATGTTGATTGTGTGCAGAGAATTCACTTTTTAGATCTCCTTAGTGTGTATGGGCTCATGAGCTGACATTCGATTCTGAGAGATGTCTTCTCTGATGTGAAACAGCTGAGCTGGAAGCTGTGATCATTTGTGCACCTAATGTATATGGTTGTGGCATGATTACTGCTGATGTCCCGTGAAGGATATGGGCCTTCAGCACCTGACCAGACAACGTTCATCTGTAGGATTTGGCCACCTCAGTGGATCTGTTACAGATCAGGGAATGCACTGCAGATAAGGTCTTAGGCATCCCTGTTCTGCATGTGTATTGGTAGACCAGCCATTCTCAACCAGGGTTCCTTCAGAGGTTGATAGGAGTTCCTTGATCCCTGTTCTGCATGTGTATTGGTAGTCCAGCCATTCTCAACCGGGGTTCCTTCAGAGGTTGATAGGAGTTCCTTGATCCCTGTTCTGCATGTGTATTGGTAGACCAGCCATTATCAACCAAGGTTCCTTCAGAGGTTGATAGGAGTTCCTTGATCCCTGTTCTGCATGTGTATTGGTAGACCAGCCATTATCAACCAAGGTTCCTTCAGAGGTTGATAGGAGTTCCTTGATCTGTGGTTGATTAAAGGTGAAGTTCACCTTTTATGTAACAAATATTGAATGCACATTTTTTTGTAGGTAAAAAAGGTGACTTTATTATTAATATATCTTTTTTTTATCAGGAGCCTGTAAAGCATTGCACCCGTGATTAGCAGATTGTGGGTACAATCTCAGGCTCTTGCAGAGTGTCAGTGTGTCTCTCTGTCCTTGTATGGGTAGGCAGTTACTGAATGACAGAAGGAAACCGTGAACAGTGAACTACCTAGAGTGCTCACCATTGCCCTGGTGGGCAGCACAGTGGCTAAATGGTTAGCCTGGCAGTAAGGGAGGTTGTTACTTTGAATCCCAACCACGGCAACACCTGCTTGGAGTTTTCATGTTCTCCCTGTGCCTGTGCCTCCCTGTGTGCCTTCCTTAGGCTATTCATGCTACAGATTTGAATGGGTCAGTAAGGGCTTGTTCACACCGTGGTGCAGAGACATCAGTTTTTCTGCACACATTCTGCAAGGGCACAATGAAATCAATGGTTCTCTATGTGCCCTGTTCACACCACAACATTAGTATCCCGTGTAGATTTTACTGTGCAGGAATCTGCAACGTGTATAAAACTCATTGAAGCACGTATGAAAACTGATGTAAACTGATGTCTCTGTAAGTGAAATCTGTGTGTCAGTTATGGTTGCCACCTCTTCCCTTTAAAACCGAACACATATTACTTACACAGGTTCTGAGACTATTTTATTGCAGATAAGGCACTACATGAGTTTAATTTACACCCTAATCAGCCACAGAACCTGTGTAATTAATATGTGTTTGGTTTTAAGGGGATGAGGTGGCAACCCTAGTGTCAGTTTCCATCAGTTTTTCTGCAGGTATGGTGCGAACGAGGCCTAAATGGCTGTCCTTCATTTAAGAAAGGTTAATTCTAGTTTTTGAGGTTACCTTTTAAAATGACACATATGCTAAAGATAGTTATTAAGAGGTTGTTGAATAAATTATCGTGTCACCCAATATTTGGTCTCCATTCAGTAGCCAAAAGAGGCATACAAAAAAGGGGATTTGTGAAAAGAGATTCACAGAAAAGCGGCTACATAGTGAACAGAACGTGACACTCAGAAAAATTTCCAAAAATTATGCTTTATTACACATATATAAATATGACATATGGGCATTCGCCCTGGTTTACCATCACCACAGTATGAGACAATACACACAGACCTAAAACCATATAAAATGACACCAAAACCGGTCTGAATGCATGTGCAGCAGAAAAAATGACTACAAGAGTCTAATGTCCCTGTAGCACAGACACATAGGTGAACACTTCCTAAAGGAGGTGTATCCAAAAGTTATACCATAGGCATACCGTAATGTAAGATATAATAGATTAAGCTATTACCATGATGGTAAATCCCAATCAGGGAATCCAAAAATTATACTATGGATATGAATATCACATGTATGCAATGCAGCAAGCACAATATGCGTCAAAAAGAGAACATCAAGCCTCAGGCCTGTATGAAGGAAGACATAATGTCAAAAAATATACCGCTGGAACCCGCGGTATATCGGCGGATGTCAGCGGTGGTTCCTTGGCCTCTTTGGCCCTGTATGGCAGTACCTATGAAGGACTTCTCTTTCATTCCTATTATCCACAGCACAGGTGGTGAGTGGATTGTTACAGGACATTAGATATATGGTCCTCTGTGATCTATATGACCTATATATCCTATATAGAGTGTAAGCTCTGTCAGTGACTTCCCACATATTGTTTGTTTCACTACAGGATGGGGACATCATGGTGCTTTGTATAGGAAACAAGATATACCACATATATTTCAACAGGCAGAAGATCTATTGGGATGTGTCTTGTTGTTCCTACGAAAAGTGGTGTGTAGTCCACATATAGTGGTGAAGAAACCATTTCAAGCAGAGTGCTGCTTTGTGCATCTTTTCTTCCATCCTGGGAATTTAATGGGGCATATTCTCATTCAAGAGCTCTAGGAAACAGCTGTTTATATTACAGATGAATGGGCCCCAACCACTTGTGCCGGCACAGGAATGTATTGCATTATATTTTTAACATTATGTCTTCCTTCATACAGGCCTGAGGCTTGATGTTCTCTTTTTGACGCATATTGTGCTTGCTGCATTGCATACATGTGATATTCATATCCATAGTATAATTTTTGGATTCCCTGATTGGGATTTACCATCATGGTAATAGCTTAATCTATTATATCTTACATTACGGTATGCCTATGGTATAATTTTTGGATACACCTCCTTTGGGAAGTGTTCACCTATGTGTCTGTGCTACAGGGACATTAGACTCTTGTAGTCATTTTTTCTGCTGCACATGCATTCAGACCGGTTTTGGTGTCATTTTATATGGTTTTAGGTCTGTGTGTATTGTCTCATACTGTGGTGATGGTAAACCAGGGCGATTGCCCATATGTCATATTTATATATGTGTAATAAAGCATAATTTTTGGAAATTTTTCTGAGTGTCACGTTCTGTTCACTATGTAGCCGCTTTTCTGTGAATCTCTTTTCACAAATCCCCTTTTTTGTATACCTTTTAAAATGAGCCTGCCGTTTTTTACTCCCTTATAAAATAAAGCCTGAATGGTTTATTATAGTCAAAGTCTTCTTTGTATGAGTCCCCCATAAATTATAACACTTTGTCAAAAAGTATCTTAACAAAACTTTGATTTACTGGTTGAATAATCCTTCAAGAGGGGAGTGTTTTAGATTGATGTGATGTGAAAAATAAACCTTTTTTTCACATTTAATGGCTTGAAAAGGTTAAGATAGAAGGATTAATTGCTGTATATCTTTTTTTCAGCTACACCTCCATATTCAATATTTGTCCAGGCCCACAAGGCCAGCATCCCCCACGCTGCCTGCTGTTATGATGATATAATATAAATTTATTTATGATGGTTGGGAATTCACAGTCTTAGGTTGTTATAAATCTGCCTTCTCCTTCTTTCTCACACTATCTCAACTATCTTCTCCTTTTGTTCTCTGTTTTTTTTTTTTCCATTTAAAGTAGTTCTTTTTCTGTTTGTTTTCTGAAGAAAATGCAGCTCTGAAGATCTAGCAACCGCATACAATAACAGAGGGCAGATTAAGTATTTCCGGGTTGACTTCTATGAAGCAATGGATGACTACACAGAGGCATTACGTGTGAGCCCTAATTTTGAGGTTTCTTACTACAACAGAGGCTTGATCCTGTATCGATTAGGTGGGTGCCGCTGGAGTTAGCTGTTTAGTGTCTGCTTGTTTAAAAAGCCAGCATTATTAGCCTGTGTAAAAGTCAAGACTCTCATTACCTGACCTGTCTGTATAGAAACACACAGACTGAGTGAAGCATAACACAGTTCTGCTTTACTGATACCCATAGCCATAGTGAACCTGCACTGTCTTAATGTGGTTCATAGGTGGTTCATTTTTTTTTTTTTCATTCACCCGGTGGGCTAAACCCCCAAAAATGAAGAAACGACTCCATTTACACAAACATGGTGGATGGAGGAACACCCCGACCCCGCCTGGACATCGTATTCCGACAGCGAGACCAGCGCTGTCAGAATACACTGCTCAGCGTCAGCAGCCACTGATCTACAAAAGTTTCCCTACTTTTCCATTCTACAAAAGTCGATCTAATGAGCCACTTCTGTTGAACAGTAAAGACCACACACTGATGAAAATTTGGCTAGTTCATTCTGAACTGTCTGAATTTACTCCGACATGGAAGACATCTTATTTGCTTCTACTTTCCTTATCACCAGTATGACAGTATTTCTTTATTAATTTGTAGCAACAGAAAGGCTGTACAAAAATGTGTCAGAAATAAGAGCTACTTGAAATTGATGGACTCATTGCTACTGACAATGAAAATGTTGCAGAGTTTTCATGAATATGGTGCAAACCTTTGGACTACATACACACTGCCAGAAATGTTTCTCAAATGCTTCTTGAATCACCTCCTATGTTTTTACCTCATTTGCTACCTGTCCACTCTTTATACTATGACAATGGTGTGTGCACTCCTCTTGTTACAGTCTCTATAATGTTGAATGCATTAAACAAAAGCTGAGGTGACCAAAACATACCTCTTTCTCTGCTGGCACCACAGCTTCATGTACCTGAAAATCTGCCCATATCCTAGACTACTCAGGTATGCAAACGTTAACCCAATTTATGGGGTTGAGAGCCAGACTCCACCAACCAGGGTGGATTTGATTTAAATCAAACTGATTTAAATCACTAGTCAGTAAGGCTTGATTTAAATCCTAGTTTTCTACATAAAGACTAATTCTTGCTGGTATAACTTTAATATGCAAGTAGATGAAGATTTTTAGAATAACTTTTCATATTAGTTTTTTTTATCCCCAGTTTAATAGGTTAATCATTCATATTTGGACAACTTTTCTGTTGTACTTAGGAAGGAGAAAAATAATCATTACCTTAATAATAACAATTTAAATAGATTTATTCAACTGAAACAATAACATTCCAGCATATGTTATTTGTTTAAACAAACATCCATGTTTGTTAACTAATTTGGCTAAACAAAATATATATATTTAAGAAACTTAGACTGTCAGCCCCTTCCTCCTCACACTTGGTTTCACTTTCTTCTTGTGCAGATCTATTCCACTCCAAACAATCAGAAAAATATTGTTTCTATTCTATTCACTGAACTTCTTGAAACTTAGCACTGAAGGGGTTGATTCTGTATTCATAGGTTTGTAGAAGTTAGGATTAAGGTCTTTTTCTTAACTCTGTTCATGTTATAACATTTTGGCTGTGAAGAAGAGGCATGTGATCTCCGCTGAGTCATTTCAGTTTTGAGAACTGCGAAAGTAAACCAAGCATCTGTGATAATATCTTGTAGGCAGAGAAACTGCCCAATAATCTTACAAAAACCTCTGGAAGAGCATGACATTGTGAATGGATTCATGGAATTTATTTACCAAAAAAATTAAACATATACAGCCTTATTCTACATAATTAAAAAACTAATCTTTATTTCATGATGGAATAACCTTTGGAATGGTAATATATCTGATTTTTCCTCAAAAAGCATTTTATTTGAAAAAAATCTGATTCCACCCTAAATAAAAAAAAAATCAGATTTAAATATAAATCCGAGCGTTTTTTTTAGCGCTCGGCCAAACGCTTTTTTTTTATTTTTAAAAAAAAAAAATCATTGATTTTTATCCACCCTGCTTTGCGAGAGCGGCACCAACTAAGCCTTACTGTTGACTTGTTACATGTGATGGCAGAAATTGATGTAAAAACTCTTAAATGGCCATTAGTGGGGCTTGGTAGATGGCAAGATAGTAGGGCAAAGCTTTCTGTACGGGTATCAAAAACCACTGAAACGTATTACTGCAGTTTTTTGGTAAATATTTATCACTTCAGGTTTGTTTTACAAATGCAGTGAGACCATGAACCTCCTGTAACCGCTGAAGTGTAAGACGCATAAGAAATTCTGTTATTGAGCTCTCCAGAATCTGCCAGAACTGGAATATCTGTTTTGACTTTACTACTAACCATTTAGTTTGCAAGTCATTATGTTTTCTTGGCTTGTTTAATATGGCAGTAAAAAATGTGCAGTGACCAGGGGCGGACTGACAACTCATGGGGCCCCCGGGCAATAGGGGATCACGGGGCCCCTGTGTCCTTGCCCAAACTCAAAAAAGCCTATGAAAAAGGTACCAGGGGCATCTCATGGGGCCCACTACTGACCCTGGGCCCTCGGGCAGTGCCCGAGTTTCCAAATGGTCAGTCCGCCCCTGGCAGACAGACCGGTTTCCATGTGATACAGTTCCTGTCATATACGTTATCCACATTACTTGGTCTTATTTCCCTGTACCACCATATGTAAATTCAGTGTTTAATATTAAAACCTAACTCCATGTATATGTTTACTTTAAATAGTTTGGGCCAAGCTGGCCCAATCAAACTATTTCCTTTACAAATAGATGCTCCCGCTGTCAGTGCTTTGGCATACAGTGGTAGCATCATCTACATACAGTATATGGCGCTTTGTGTTTACGGCAGCAGTACGGGGACTTTCTATGCTTTTCCTGGAACAAAATCAAGTAGGGCTGAGCATTGCTCAGCCATTCACAGGAAGCCTTGTATTTTGTATGAATAGAAGGCTTCCTCTGATTTGATTGGATTGGATAGGTAGAGATCGTGACATCATCCTCTCACCTCTTCACCTCAGCCAATCTTGGATAAAAACACAAAACGTCCTGTGAACGGCTGAGAAGCACTCAGCCTGACCCAATTTTTTTGTTTTTTCCGGCAACAAATGGCGAGAAGTCCCTGTACTGCTGCCAGAGCACAGCGCTGTATACTGTATGTATCTGAAGCAGGGGCGGACTGACTATTTGGAAACTCAGGCACTGCCCAAGGGCCGGGGTCATAGGGGGCCCCATGAGATGCCCCTGGTACCTTTTTTCATAGGCTTTTTTGAGTTTGGGCAAGGACACAGGGGCCCCATGATCCCCTATTGCCCGGGGGCCCCATGAGTTGTCAGTCCGCCCGTGATCTGATGCTAAATACAGTTTATACAACATACAGCGAGCACATGTATTAGTAAAATAGTTTGTTTGGACCAGCTTGGCACTATCGAGCTATTGGAAGTAAAAGTAAACCTGGGTTGTCTCTACTGTCCCAATCATGGGTTTCACTTGGAATAAGGACCTCACTCTTTGTGTTTCCTTTTTTTCCTTTAACAGGATTTTTTGATGATGCCATAAAGGACTTTCAGAAAGTATTGCAGCTAAACCCTCAGTTTGAAGATGCAAAGATCAGCCTACAGCAAAGTATTCTGGACAAGGAAGAGAAAAGGAAGAGGCTTTCTGGAATCTAAAGCGACTATAGATTTGCATGACACTGGTGTGAGTGTGCTTTATGCACTGCTGCACACCTTATGCAAAGATAACATAACTGATTGCTCCACCCAAAATTTAAATTGTTGCTGGTTTTTTTTAATCTCCCACCAGCTTGTTATAATCATGGAGGCCAGATTCACATATTTGTGTTATGTTAACAGGCAATACGTTAGGGCCACATATTTATTTTTGAATGGGCTGTCAACACACAACACCCAATACACACACACCACAGTGCAAAGTTTAGCGGATTTTACAGGTTTTACTGCATCTGGCACAGCGCACACAGATATATTTTGTGTGTGATATGGTGCTCTAAAACGCATGTGCACTGGATAAGTGTATTGGAGTACTATTCAAACGAATGGCATTGAAGTAAACCACTCTTCTACAGGCTTACACAACACTTTTGTGCGTTAATGTAGCTCAGTAGAGTGAATCAGACTTCACTGGAGGGGCTGATATCTCATCTCCATCCCCTTGGTCTAGTCCTTTTGAAAAGGCTTTCCTCTTACATTTCAGTTTTTAATTTTTTTTTATTATGAGGATTGCCACAGGAGAGGTGAGACTCCAAGGTGAAATAAGTAGTACCACTTTGTAGATTACTATTATATAGATTGCCTCTCAGAAATGAAAGGAGGTAGCAAGTAATTCAACTGCTAAATCACTAAAAGCCATTATGGGTGGATTGACTGTCATGCTGATCCTGCGGCTTCAAGGCATCATTGTGCAGATCAGGAGTTCTAACTTTGCTTGCTGTATTCTTGTTCTGGGTCAGTGACTTAGAAAGTATTGAAGCCACAGACAGCCAGTGCTTTTAGAAGGAGATCTACGATGTCAGTTTTTTTTTCTCATTTGAGGGTTTCCTTTAAGGAAACTAAGTCTAATATGTAAGTAAATGAGAATTTGAGAATACAATTCAAAATTAACTTAGCAGTATTCATTGGAAGGGGATAGGGGTGGCCTACTTTGAATTCACTGCTACCATCAGACAGGAAACCCTCTATTATTATTATTATTATTATTACATCGAGTTTATATAGCGCCAAAGGGTTTGCTCAGCGCTGTACAATAGAGGGGGGGACAATACATGGCACAGTACAACAATAACAAACAACGTACGAGGGGTAAGAGGGCCCTACTCTTTCGAGCTTACAATCTAGGAGGGAGGGGGTAGTGGTACAGTAGGAAGTGGCTGAGGGGAATTAAGTGGTGGGAGGAATGAGGGAGAATAGAAAGAATGATGTGGCACAGGACAGTGGTTCTGGATCCTTATGATGGGGGACAGAAGTTTTATGGCGATCAACTTTGGAAGAAAAATCTGATTTACATGCTATAATGTCCTTTGTAGGAGTAAGCTTGCAAAGCTAATTTAACCATTAGCCGCCCGGCCAATGGCCGTTTGGCGGCCTCAGATGTGTATCTGCATTCTGGGTGCACGCCATTTGGCGTGCTCCCGCACATGCGCCGTTTGCGCTAGTGCAGAGCGGCGCAGCAGTGCGATCTGTCATCGGCCGTGCACCTCGGACACGGCCGATGACAGATCCGAGTACCGGCTCCCGTTGCTGGTACCATGTGACCTGCTGTGACCAATCACAGCAGGTCACATGACAGTTGTATACAATGGATGGCTTCATTCATGATGCCATCCATTGTATACTAGTGCCTAGCTGTGAATGGTCACAGCTAATCACATGCACATGTCATGTGATTAGCTGTGACCAAATCACAGCTAAGCAAAAAAAAAAAAAAAAAAAAAAAAGCTGAATGAATCGATTTCATTCAGGTAAATGCTTGCTTATAGCAAAGTAATTCTTTGCTATAAGCAAATTGTGTAAAAAAACCAAAAAAAAAACAAATACTGATCACTTCCCCAAAGTAGTACAATGTTACTATGGTAACATTGTACTATTTTGGTCATAGTAAAATATGAAAAAAAATCTTTAAAAAAAAAAAAAAAAAAAATGTAATAAAAAATTAAATATAATAAAAAAATTAAAAAAATATATATATATATATATATTTTTTTTTTTTTTCATACTGTCACAAGTCAGTGTCCCTGTTCACCGCCATGCCAGTTATATGATGACGCTGTACTGCACTGGTGACAGTATGTAAAAAAAAAAATAGTGAAAATAATTTTTTTCATTTTTTCATTTTCCGAAAAATTATGACAAAAAAATACAACTTCAAAAAACTCGCCATGCCTCTTATGAAGTACGTCGGTCTGTCTACTCTGCAAAAAGGGGTCATTTGGGGATATCTGTACTGTTCTGACATTCTTGGACCTCAAGAAATTAGATTGGCTGTCAGTACTTCAGGATTGATAAATTTTCAGATCTATACCATAGTTTGTGAACTCTATAACTTTCCTACAAACTAAAAAATACATCCTAATTTGGGTTATTTTCACCAAAGACATGTAGCAGAATACATCTCGGCCTAAATTTATGAAGAACAATTATTTATTTGTAAACTTTTATAACAGAAACAAAGAAAAATGTGTTTTTTTTTCAACATTTTTGGTCTTTTTTGTTAATTTAGCAAAAAATAAAAACCCCAGCGGTGATTAAATACCACCAAAAGAAAGCTCTAGTTGTGTGAAGAAAATGATAAAATTTTAGTTTTGGGTACAATGTTGTATGACCGCGCAATTGTCATTCAAAGTGTGAGAGCGCTGAAACCTGAAAAATGGCCTGGGCAGGAAGGTGTAAAATTGCACGGTATTGAAACGGTTAAAGAGGCCCTGTCAGTGAAGAAGTGTGTATGATCTACCACCATCCCAAAGTCCTTGTCTGAGGTAATCCAGTGTCAGAATGGATAGAGAATGCCAAGCTACAAACTGCAAAGGGGAAGATTTTGCCATTAGTGTCCGCAAGTATTATAAGGAGCCAGTTAATGATTCAGCTTTGATGCCCTACAATAACAAGAATGTCAGTTTTGGGTATACATAACCTTTAATCTGATTTCTTTAAACTGTGCCAAATCTACAACCAACCGAGCCTAAAGTCCATGTATAGAGATAACCTATTTTAGATATGCCTCTCCATGCTCCATCTACAGTGAAAAAAACATCTAGATGTTCCCCTGACCCACTTTGGTGTCTGCTGTCTCTTTTTTTTTTTAAACCTCTTTCAGCGACATTGAAATAGCTGTTGCTAGCACTAACTACCGTTTTGTATGGTGACACTGCAGTAATTTCACTGCAAGGGAATCTATGTTGTCACCCTGTTGAAGGAAGTTCCTGGCACTGGCAGGATCATCCAGTATTTTATACAGATGCAAAAAGGCAAATTACATTTAAAGTAATGCTCTTTCCTTTTTGTCATGATGTTTCACTGGTACTTTTTTGACTATTGACTATAGTTCCTATAGTTCTACTTAAAGAGAATATATAATCTTTTGGGTCTTTTTTTTTCAGATATTCGTTAAGGGAGTAGCTTGTTATAAATACTGCAATCAATATGAATTAAATGTTTTAAAAAATCTGGATTTAGTGTATATTTTGTAATTATTATTTATTTATTTCAGGTACTTATATAGCGCCGTCAATTTATGCAGCGCTTTACATATATATTGTACATTCACATCAGTCCCTAACCCTCAAGGGGCGTACAATCTAAGGTCCCTAACTCACGCTCATACATATACATGCTAGGGCCAATTTAGACAGGAGCCAATTAACCTACCAGCATGTCTTTGGAGTGTGGGAGGAAACCGGAGTACCCGGAGGAAACCCACAAAGTCACAGGGAGAACATGCAAACTCCAGGCAGGTGGTGCCGTGGCTGGGATTCGAACCAACGACCCTAGTACTTCCAGGCGGAAGTGCTAACCGTTTAGCCACATATAGTATGTACATGGGGAAAACCATATTTGTACATTTCATACACAGGCTCTGCTGCCTGCCTTTCCATTTTTAATGTTACACGGTTATGGCACAACTGTTCATCAAATCTATATTTTCAGTAAACATACAATTACAAAATTTATTTTACTGCACCCAAACACAATAAAATCTCAAAATTGTACAAAATATGAAAGATCAGACTTAAGTGGAATAAATAGATACAAAATATGTCAAGATACAAAACTGCACACAAATTTTTTTGGGGGAAATTCTTTATTTATTAAGTTTTTGGACACTTGCATACAGAAAAAAAGAAAAAATTAAAAGAGAAGTATGAGGTCTTTTTTTTAAAAATCATTCTTGCCTAGGTGGATGCAGCATCGGTCCCCCGCCGGCTCTAGGTGATCACTTGATTGCTGCGTTCTCACAGCCGCTCTGAGCAGAGAGCGGTGACTGTCAGTCACCGCCGTCTGCTCTGACCCAATTACTCCCACCCCCCTTGCTCACTGGAGCTGTAGGCTGTGAAGGGGGAGGTAACTGCTGTCTTAGGCTCTCATCAGTTCGCTGAGAGGCTGGGTCAGATGCTGCTTCAGACTCTGGGGTGGATCCCGACTGTAAAGTCGGGATCTTTCCTCAGCCTGTCAGCCCAGATTAACATCTTTCAGAGCTGTATTCATATATTTTAAGTGTGTAGGTTTTTCCATTTTGGTGGAATTCAAACTTTAGCAGCATTAAGGTTGTGTTGTAAAATATACTTACAAGTTTTGCAGGAATATGTTAGTTATGTAGGAGGAAAAAGGAAGGATGCTCCGGGACCATAAAGTCTGTAAACTTCTGAGTGAGATCCTTCTCATCCTCTACCAGTAAGCGGCTAGTTTCAGATATGACCAGAATATATGTAAGATAGTCCTTTCTTACTCATGACATCTCCAACAGTGGTCAGAGGTAGTAGGGTAACATTTGTGCAGTACTAATGGGGTTCTGTACCATCTCGATAGGATCTTAAAATTAGTCTCCTGAAGTCTAGTACATATTGATGATTTGAGGGAGAAGTCTTTGATTTTCCCGCACTGTTGCCAGCTGAAAGGCTGCTTCCCAGGAAAGGAGGCAAGAGAGTTTATAGTCTGTT